CCGGAGGTGGGGGGGTGGGGAAGATCTCCTGGGTCCTCTCCTCACCAGGCTCCATCTTTACCATCTTCAGTGCCACTAGGTCCCCCGTCACCTTGTCTCGAGCCTTGTAAAAGGGAAGTTGACAGTCAGACAGGCTCCGTTCCCCCCAATCCCTCTTCAGCATGCCTGAGCCAACATCAAGGACTGGGACCCTTGCTCATTCCCTTCCCTTCTTGGGCTTCACCCCAAAGGCCGCTGGTTAGAGGGTGATGGAGAAGGAGGAGGGTCCTCACCTTGAAGACTTCTCCATAGGTGCCGCCACCCAGCCGCTGCAGCAGGTCGTAGTGGTCCCGGGGGTCCTTATTAAAGATGTCGGGGTCCAGAAGGTCCATTCCTGGGAGCCGGAGCTGGGCCTCCGCCCAGGGGCCAGCAGGGCCTCAGGGCTGGAGTGCTGGCACCTCCCTCCCTCCCCACACGCCCTGCACCCGCCTTGCCTCCACCGGCTGTGGCCTCCCCCTTCCCCACTCTCGTTTCCTGCCCCAGCGCAGGGCTGTGCAGCCGGCTCCACCCCTTGTCCCCTGGGCCCTGAAAGCCTGTGAGGGACAGCTTGCCTTGGGACCCAGGGGACCCCTCTCCACCTTCAGGGCCCTGGGCTGAATGTAAATCAGATGCAAACTATCTTAAGTGTGACCTGGTGGGTACCTCAGCACCCCTTCCCCCATTCTGGGTGGTGGCTGAAAACCACAGTTGAACCTCTGCTGAGTGCTTGAGGATTTGGCCACAGCCCAGAGATGGCAGGTCTGCACAGGGATGATCATTCAGTGCACATTACTGTTCACCTTGGGCAGATATGCACTTAGTGGAACACCCCTGTTCAGTGAGCAGACCAATCGACGTGCAAATGCCTGGATACCCATGTGCACACATGTGGGTGTATCCAGAGCCCAGAGCACATTCACCCACGTATATAACGCATGCCTGTGCATTTATGCCTGCAGTGTGCAGAATCTGTACCCATTTAACTTTTGAGGGCACATTTAACTTGTGGGGCGCTCGCCTTCACCCACAAAACTGCGGACTGGATACAATTCTGGGGATCCAGGAGCCCCTCACCCCTGCCCCTACGGGCAGACCATCACAATAGTTTTGCAGGCCCCTACCCCTGGCGTTAGGCTGAAGCGTGGGGACCAGTTTCAGGACTTGAAACCATGGAGCTCAAGATCCTGCCTCAGGGGCCCAGGCCTCGGTGAAAGTGGCCCTCGGAGCTTGGACCATGGGGCAAAGGGAAGAGTACTAGGTGTTTTCCAACAGTTTTGTGAGTTCGACTCAGCGAGCAACGCGCCGTGCGCGCGCGCCGTCAGAAATTCGCCTCCTGCCCACGAGTTCGCGCGCACGTCCTGGGGACTAGAGCGCGACGCCCGGGAACAGCTCAGCCCCGCCTCCTCGCCTGGAGACGGCGCGCCAGCGCACTGGGCTAGACTAAGCTTTTTCTCACGCTGTTGGCCCAGTTCGGGTGGAGCGTATGCGCACGCGCCAACTGCGCTCGCTGAGAAGTCACGTGGCAGCCGGAAAGCGTGGCAGCCTCCGCGAGAGCCGTCCTCTTCAGCGCCCCCGGGACTGGAGCGAAAACAGCGACGTATTTCCGTTTCCGCCATCTCTTCCTCTTCCGGTCCTCTAGGACGCCGCACAGGCGGGTTCTTCGGCTCCATCCCCCGTGAGGGAAGCGATAGCCGTCATGGCGATGTTTGAGCAGATGAGAGCTAACGTGGGCAAGTTGCTCAAGGGTATCGACAGGTCTGAACCCGGTCGGAGGGACAGCTTCGGGCCAAGTGGGGTGGAGGAGAGGCTTTCTGGGGACGGCAAGGGGTGGTGAGGATCCTGGGCTTGCCCTAGGGTGGGATTTTCCAGTCTTCTGGAGATGTTAAAGGAAAACAGCATTGCAAGCGCCTAGAGGCAGGAGATAGACTTGTCTTAAGGCCTCTCTCAGCCCCTAAATTTTCCTCTCTCTCTCTGTTCCTCATCCTCTCAGAGCCTCTTCGTCTCTACCTTCTTTTCTTATATCATTCATTCAACACATGTTCACTAAAATCTGTCAGTACTGGCCAATGTTGGGGATCAGAGGTGACCAAGACAGCCTCGGGCCATGCTTTCGTGGAGTTTCCAGTTCAGAGGCCAGACAAAACCAACAGTAGACAGTGATACCTGAGTGCATCAGAGATGTGATGGGGGAAGCACAAACAAATTGGTCAGAACTGGAATGGGGGGAACTAAGGAGGAGAGAATGGGGGCCGAAAAGGGAAGGAAGCGGGGGGTGTTAAAGATGTCCCAGAGCCCAGATATACAGACTGCAATGGCTGATTGTCTGAGAGGTTGGGGAGGCATCCTAGGCCTTAGACCCAAGGCTCTGATGGGATTTAGAGCTTAGGCTCAGGTCTGGGATATGGACTAAGTTTTATTATTAGAGTTTACAGAGCTGAGTGCCAAATTTAAAGGGAAGAAAAGGAGGGAGGAGCATGTTTCTGTGCCCACCCCACCCCCATCCTCAAAGTCCCTCGCCTCAGCTTCTGTCTCCTCTCTGCTCATCAATCTTGATTCTTCTCTAGGTACAATCCTGAGAACCTGGCCACACTGGAGCGCTATGTGGAGACACAGGCCAAGGAGAATGCCTATGATCTGGAAGCCAACCTGGCTGTCCTGAAGCTGTGAGTGTCTGCCTCCAACCCCAGCCCCATGCCAGTGGCCAGCAGGGTACCACCCCCAACACTGGGTGGTGCAGGAGCTGGAGATAGCCTGCAGCATCTTTTGGTGTATAAGACTAGGAAGCTAAGGAAGTTAGAGCAGGAAGATGGATGGTTTTTAAAAAATTAATTACAAAACACACATACGGACTAGTACACAAAATAAATACAGTCGGCCCTCCATATCCACAGGTTCCACATCAGTGGAAAGATTGACAACATTCCCCTAAAAATGTGATGGTGCTGATGTGCACTGTGTAGTTAGGCCTACTATGGTTACATCTGTATTAAACACCTACAGACTTTTTCTTGTTATTCCTGAAATAATACAGTACAACTACTGTTTACATAGTATTTAGTTTTGTTGGGTATTGTAAGTAATCAAGATTATTTAAAGTGTACAAGAAGATGTGCACAGGTTATATATAAATACTGCAGCATTTTATGTAAGGAACTTGGGCGTCTGTGGATTTTGGTATGCACAGGGATCCTGGAACCAATCCCCCGTGGATACTGAGGGATTACATATAGTTTAACGACTAATTATAAATGTACCCATATGATCACCATCCATATTGCAAAGTTGAGTGTTGCTAGCAACTCAGACCCTTTGCCCCATATGTTTCACATGTTTTGTGCCAGCCAGTCCTGCCCCCCACCTTGGTAACTGCTCTTAGGTTCTCATGGCCTGACTCTGTGAGTTAACAACACCTCCTGATCACCTAACTCAGGATTGGCTGCTTTGAATGCTTTGAACTTCATATAAATATAGTCCTGCAGCACGAGCTCTTCTGCATCTGGCTACTTCCACTCAGCACTGGGTTTATGAGGTCCAGCCATTTTCTGTGTGGCTGCAGTTTGCTGTTGTCATTGCTGTATAGTGTCCCACTGTGTAACTTCGTCGTACTTACCCATTTTCCTGTTGACAGACGTTTGGGTTCCTCCCCTTCAGTACTTTATTGGCACACTAACAGCTGTGTAATTTTTACAGATTGCATAGCCTCTATTTTGATATCTGGAAAGTGGAGATAACAATGCTTGTATTTGTGGGGTTGTTGAGGTTATTGGTGATAATCGTTTCTTGGGGAGTACTTGCCATGTGGTAGTTTTTGTGCTATAAGCTTTGTGTATGTTAACTCATTTAGATGCTGTATTGCCCTTGTGAGGTAGATATAGTTGTAATTGCCCCATTTTGCAAGGGAGGAAACTGACGCACAGAATTTTAAATGAGTAGTCCACAGCCACTCAGCAGGGAAGTTTAAACCCAGGCAGTCTGGCTCCAGAGCCCTTACCCACTATTCCAGACTGCTACTATGTACTCATTTATATGTGAATCGCTTAACAGTATCTATCATACTGGGTGGTTGTGAGGATTAATAGTCCATGTCTACAAAGCAGGAAAGTAGGGTCAGGGAAGTCACACAACCAGAGAATGCTGTGGTTGGGATTGGAGCCCAGGCATGTCCAGCTCCCAGGCTCTGGGTCAAAGCAGTGTGTAGCCTTCCTCACACCTGGTGAGGCTTCCGGGACCTGAAGATGCCACCTGTTCCTGTGTCTCTTGTTCTCTTCTCAGGTACCAGTTCAACCCAGCCTTCTTTCAGACCACTGTCACTGCTCAGATCCTCCTAAAGGCCCTCACCAACCTGCCCCACACCGACTTCACACTGTGCAAGTGCATGATTGACCAGGCCCATGTATCCTTCCAGCTTTTGGGCCCAGGTGTGTGGGGGAGGAGTCGGGAAAGAGATTATTTCACAGGGAAGTGGTCTGTGAGTTTAGCCACAAACACTTGAGTGCCTACTTTGGGCTTAGCCCGGTGCTTGGTAGGGCTGGGGCCCTGTGGTGGTTAAGAAAGGCCTGTTCTCTGCCCTCACACAGCTCATAGTCCAGTGGGGGAGACAGGTCCTCTGTTAGTAACACTCTGGGGTAGTTAGGGCTTGGGGTTAGAGGGGCCAGAGGAGACACATGACCCTGTTTGGATGTTAGGTTCCTGGAGGAGGGACCATCTGAAAGATGAGAGTTAGGTGAAGTGGTAGGGAAGGTGATCCAGGTAGAGGAAACTATGTAGGGAGGCCTGGAAGAAAAGAAGAACTCAGGCTCTTTTATTTATTTTTATTTATTTTTAAATATGTATTAATTTCAGAGAGAGGAAGGGAGAGGGAGAGAAAGAGAGAGAGAGAGAGAACATCAATGATGAGACAGTCATTGATCGGCTGCCTCCTGCATGCCCCCTGCTGAGGGTCAAGCCCGAAACCCAGGCATGTCCCCTGACCTGGAATCAAACCACAATCTCCTGGATCCTAGGTCAGTGCTCAACTGCTGAGCCACACCAGCCAGGCGCTCATGCACTTCTAAAGGCCATAGAAGAAGCTCAGCATAACCTTGCCAGTTTTCAAAGTAGAATTCAGTCAGACTCAAAAGGGCACGAGGGAGCCATAGAAGGCTTTAAGGCTGCAGAGTGATGGGAGTAGATTTATGCTTTAGAAAGATCTTCATGAGGATTCTAGCTGAGTAAAGACCACCAGGCCAGAGGCAGGGTGGCTGGGGGCTGGGCACCAGGCAGAAGCCATGAAGCTGGATTGCCGGCTGAACTCCATTTTATGTATCCTCATTGCCTAACACAGTGCTGGCCTTCAATGAAAAAATGTTGTGTGAAAAATCAATGAACTGGATTCCCCCACACTCCATTTGATTTTTTGTGGCTGGTC